CTCCTGTGAAAAATAGCTTGCTACTTCCTAGTGAAAAAATAAATTGCAAGTTAATTTCTATCAAAGTAATGGGTTGTATAAAATCCTGATAATTTCATTGATACTCCAGATGCTTACTATGATCACAGCTTTTCATCTCAAGTGTGTCTTTATTCTTTTTATATGTGGACGTGCAAGAAGAACATGCATATTCTACCTTTCTGCTCAAGAAGAAGCAATAAACTTACTCTCGCATTCCAGTGTTCTGATACATTAGTGGGAAGATGATAATATAATTGACAAACCCTTCTTAGAGATTTCAGCTGTGTATGAGTTCCTGTGTTCAGCTTTTTGCTGTAGCATTTTGCATGAAAAAATGACGAGGGCTGAATGTGGGGATGCAAACTAGCCTAGCTGTCCATGCTCCTTCTCACCCAGAAGTGAGTCAGACCAGACTCTGCAGAGGAAGCTGGAAGCACATTTGGCTAAGTGTACCTAAGTGATCATCCTCATCAGCCATTTAACCCCTCACCGTATTTTCAGACATATTTGTTACATAGACATAATTGTACCTGCAATAGTCTGTTACAGCAGTGAAGGAGAGCAGACGGCTGAGCAGATGTGTGAAATTCCTGGTTCCGTCCTGGGCATCTGTGATTAAAGAACAGGAAAGCTGTAGAAGAATTTCTGCCAAAGAAGAACTGCACAGTTACATGAGCCAGTGGTTTGAGCTTAAGGAGTTTCGAAAGGGTCAGCCATGTTAGTGTGTTGCAGCAAAAGCAGCAGAGTCCTGTGATGCCTGAAAGACTAATTATAGTATGAGTTTTAGATAAGAACGTAAGAACAGCCCTGCTGGATCAAGCCAAGGGCCCATCTACAGTAGTCCAGCTTCCTGTATCTCACAGTGGCCCCACCAGATGCCTCTGGGAGCACACGAGACAACAAGATACCTGTAACAGGCAACCCTGACCCCACCTGTCCGTCACGGCTGGGCAGTGGATCATCAGCCAATGGGGTGACGGAGGGTGGAGCTGGAGGGGGAGGAGTTGGAAGAAAAGGGGGGTGGAGAGGGGGTGAGAGATGAGATCTGGAGTGTGAGAGAGAAAGAGCTTGTTTAGAGGCCTGTGTGCATACGTATTCAGTGACAGAAAGTCTGTGATTGATTAAATAAGATACAGTGATTGACATCTTGATTAGCTAATTGTGATTTACATATTTTATTTTGTTATCTCAATAAACCTGTTTTGTTTTGAAGGAAACCTTTGTCCTTCTTATATAGTCATACAATTGGTGGCAGCGAGTGTGAAGTAGTGTGGTGGGCATTCTTCAGTGACATCAGAGTGGCCTGCTACGTTACAATACCCTTTCCCTCCATCTGGCATTTGGAGAGCTTCCTGTATCTCACAGTGGCCCCCACCAGATGCCTCTGGGAGCACACGAGACAACTAAATGCCCTTTACCTCCATCTGGCATTTGGAGGTACCTTCCTTTTCAGCCTGGAGATTATACATCCCCATAGTGTCATGTAACCTGCAATGGACTTTCCCCCCAGGAATCTGTCTCATCCCCTTTTTAAAGGTATCTTGGCCAGATGCCGTCACCGCATCCTGTGGCAAGGGGTTCCACAGACTAACAACATGCTGGGTAAAGAAATATTTTCTTTTGTCTGTTCTCACTCTCCCAACACTCCATTGGAGTAGATGTCCTCTGGTTCTGGTATTGTGTGAGAGGGAAAAGAACTTCCCTCTATCCACTTCATCCATTCCCTGCATAATTTTATACGTCTCAATCATGTGGCCCTCTGGTGCATTTTCTCTAGACTAAAGAGCCCCAAACACTGTAGCCTTTCCCCATAAGGGAGGTGCCCCATCTCAGTCATAATTTTAGTCACTCTCTTCTGCACCTTTTCCAGATCCACTATGTCTTTCTTGAGGTGCAATGACAAAAACCCAGTACTCCAGGTGCAGCCTTACCAGCATTTTGTACAATGCCATTATAATGTTGGGTGTTTTATTTCAATCCCATTTTTAATGATACCGAGCATGGAATTGCCCTTCTTCAGTGCTGCCACGCACTGGGTTGACACGTTCATTGAGCTGTCCACCAGCACATCAGTATCTCTTTCCTGACAGCTCGCTGTCCACCAGCACACCAAGATCACTTTCCTGACAGCTTAGAACCCATTAGCTGCTTTCATGAATTATGACCTCCACAGATGCATAATTCAGAGTAATATGTATATGATAGCATAAACAAGTATGTTGTACTGTTACCCATAAGTTGGTACCGGCTACATTTCCACTTTGTAAATTTTTTCATAGTTTTGTCTGGTCAAGGATTCTGGTGGTTGAACAAGTCCCTAAGAGCCCTACAGAACTTTATAGACCTTTAAGGAAAAAATCAGAAGCCTGTGTTCATCACAGTTAGCATTTATCCCAATTAAGGGATACTTGACAATTATATCAATATTCATCTGAGCATCAAGGGGCAAGTCTTTCCATTCTTGCAATGATTCCAGGTAGAGATGGGCATGAACCTCGGTTTGGAGGTTTGTGTGCCAGTTTGTATGCATGACACCACAGGTGCTGCACATTCCTTTCCTCCGTTTCCCCATCTGGGATCCCCCCACTCACTAGCTGGTGCGCGGTCCTCTCTTCCTCCTCTTCAGCTGTTTGACCAGTCTCCAGCAGGAGCATGGCCTTCCCCGCCCCACCTCCCTGGCTGATTGCCCACTCAGACAAGGAGGCAGGACAGGCAAACCAGTGGTGCTGTTGGGAATTGGTTGAACAGCCAAGGAGGGGGAGGAGAGGTGCACACTCTGGCTTGTGAGTGGGTCATTGGCTGGGGAGGTGGGAGAAGGGAATGCGCAAACCAAGGTTCACGCCAATCTCTAATGACAGGCAGCATCAGCTTGTTTAATTCTACAAGCTTTATTTCTCTACTTCCAGCTATGAAGAAAACTCTGGGCACAAATGCTAAAAAATATATGAAAACTAAACTTCATTCAATCTTCAATCCAAAATACAGTAAAATATCTTTTGAGAGTTAAAAAAAAAAAGAACAAGAGTGTCTCAATTACATTATTAAAATGCAAGAGCTTATAGCCTAAAAAGGCACATTGAAATAGCAAAAAGCAGAAAATCCTGTGCTTCTCCAAAACTCCAAAGTTTTTATATAATAATTTTCGTCGTCATTTAGTCGTGTCTGTTTCTTCGTGACCCCATGGACCAGAGCATGCCAGGCCCTCCTGTCTTCCACTGCCTCCTGGATTTGTGTCAAATTCATGTTGGTTGTTTCAATGACACTGTCCAACCATCTCATCCTCTGTCATGCCCTTCTCCTCTTGCCTTCACACTTTCCTAACATCAAGGTCTTTTCCAGGAAGTCTTCTCTTCTCATGAGATGGCCAAAGTACTGGAGCCTCAGCTTCAGGATCTGTCCTTCCAGTGAGCACTCAGGGTTGATTTCCTTTATATAACTTTATATAACTTCTATATATAACTTTCTTAGCCTCTAAGCATATTATGAACACACACAAAATAATTCTAAATGCTGTCCCTGCCAAAGCAGTTTGAATTTATGGGAAAAAATCCACATTGACTGTGTTGCTGGCTTTTGGAAATAAAGCTGCTACATGAATGTTGCTTTTTCATGCCTAGTGCCCAAAGTGGTGAGGTTGTGATGATTTTATGAATTCGTGTAGATGTGTCTTATCTTTCTAAATGTATATTTTAACTTCTCACCAATCTGCAAACAATCTCCTTTCCAGAGATCTTGAGCTCCAAGAATTTTTTAAAGGGAATTTTAATTGCTATCATGCGTACTGTAACTCCAGAGTTTTGTAACTTAATATCTGGCATGCTGTCAGAATAACAGTAAGGTCATTGTTATGACTAAGCTTGGAATAAGAAAGATTGTAGCATTAAAGATCTGGAATCCTAGAATCGTGGAAAGCAAGAACACTGTAATTATAGAGAGTGAAAACCATGACCTGCAAACTCCCTCTCCATATTTACACATTGCAACATAAATATATTCAGTTTTCAAAAGTGCTGTGGTACAGTGACCTTGCTCGACTGGAGAGCTACCTAATTGTTTTGAAATGACAATGGTAAACTGTGATTGTGAAGCCAGATTATGTAAACTGTGAACCCTCTATTTTAAAGCAATTTTATTTTCAGGGCTACTTTTTCTATACCTCCCTTTAATTTTTTTAAACACTCTAGACACAAAATTTCAAACCTTGACAGTCTTTCACCTAATATCAGTACAACTGGTGCAAACACAGCTGTCCAGTTACTTTAAAAAAAAAAAGACAGAAATGAATGAGACTGGCTTGCAAGCATATTCAGAATCCATGTAACATATTTTGATAAATTAAATCTTAGTTGGATGCTTTCTGCATAAGTGGCATTATGTTTTCCTAGATTGTTTTCAGCTAGTTGTATATCTTTTACTTTTCTTTGAACAGCAGATATTTTTAAGGGGGAGGGAAGCAGCTGCAATCATATTCATGGTGAGAGTGGTTTCAGAACTTATGACCGTATTGAAATGCTTGTTTAGCATGAACCGTACTGTATTAGACCTTAATTCTGAAGCTGAGATCAGAATATTTTAAGAGCGTTATCCGGTGCCTTATGAAATACACAGAGCACACCTCACCATTTTGTTTTAGACCTTTTTTTGAACCAGCCATCTGAAAGTACTCTCAGATCAGTGCCTTATATTTTGTCCTCTTTAGATTTCTTTTTTTTTCCCCTTACAGATTCAGGGCCCTTCAAATGCCTTCCACTTTACTTGCTAGCAATTTCTGTCTACCATAGGACCAGGGCAGGCATACGTATATATTTTTGACATGGTCTATTATATTATTCCTGGCATCATAGATGAGCGGTGTTCTGCTTGAGGCCCTGTTCTTTACAGATAGTCATCCTTTGTTCCTTTGAGAAGTAGACATTCAACTCATGAAAATGCTGAGCACTCAGCTAAAGCTCACAAATGCTTTTTCTCTTCCCTTATAGGATGTCATATCCAGGATACCCTCCTTCAGGCTACCCTGCTTTTCCTGGTTATCCTGTAAGTAGCAGTTTATCTATTATATGGCATTTCCTTGGTTCTCTCTGTTTGCAGGACTAACTGAGGTACCCAGGATAGAGCTAACGTTGACAGGAACGGGCTTGATGGCTTCTGATGACTTCTTTGGAGCAGTTCGTAGAGGCCCCACTCTAGAATTTGAACCTCAACTCTCTTGTATAATAATATTCTATAAATGCTGTTTGTGTCTGGTGGTCTTGTTCTAGTATCGAGTAATTAGGAAGCACAAGCATGCAGTGTGGTTATGGGAAGGAGTATAACTGTTTGATTTGTGTAATATCCATTGTTCTGTCATTTTCAGATAATAGCATTGCCTCTTAAACTGTTCCTTAAGAAATTGTTTTCTTTTTCCTGTCCTATTTCATTGAGGATGAAAATAAAGGGGGGGGGAGAGTTGTGTTTATCACATTTAACTCATGGAGAGAGGGTGGAGGAGGATGTAAACAAATAATAAGATAATAAAGTACACTTGCAAATGATATGGTTTATTGTTTGTCTTTGGCCCTCCCTTCCTGCAATGTGTGCACACAACATTTATCTTAGGGCAAGAAATGATGAAGATAAGAAACAGCTCTTGGTTGGAAGCAGCTGGGCATCAAAAATTTCCCCCTTCACCACCAAGTATAGTTTTTTAAATGGGATAATTGGGATAATTTATAATAAATGGGATAATTTAAATGGGATGAGATAATTGCCCATTATAAAACAATTCATGCCAATTTATATGTTAATCTATAACACAGGGTATAAATGGGATAAATAAAAGTAGCCTCCAATGGAAAACAGTGGTAGATATTTACATTGTTTTGTTTTTGTTTTTTTTAACATCCACAATGTTGCAATCATCCATGTTTTGGTAGTCCCAGGGAGAACCATGGTAGTTCTTTGGACCAGTTTCTTTTGGATTCAGTCAGCTCACAAATTGCTAGTGCTTCTTCTCATCAGGAATGCTGGAAGTGGCAAATTATTCCATAGAATTCCTATACTGGAATAAGGCATCTGTGTTGCAAAGGAGAAAAAGGCTCACTGACACTGGCTGTGTAAACCAAATCGTAACTGTCCATCCATTCCTCCCAGGTAAACAAAGCACCCCTTTGGTAATTCTGTGGGGTGCACACACATCAAACCAGCATATGAACACACCCCTGAGAATCATGGCAGGGGTGCTTTGCTTACCAGAGAGGAATAGACAGAAAGTAATAATTTGGCTTATGCTGCCTACAGGATTTCAGCCATCCCTTTTCTTCAAAATGCTCATTTATAAACTAGATTTGTTTTCTTGTGGGATTTTTTTTGCCTTTAAAATTTCTATAGTGTATTTATGTTTTGTTGTTGCTGTTGTTGAAAGTATTTGCATATTGTACGTCAGCATTCCACGCCCCTCAAAGTGACACAGGTTCTCCACACTGTATATCCTTTCAGCGTATTTTATTGCTAAAGTCTGTGGCAGGACTGGAAGCTGCTGCAGCACAAATATGTTATAAGGATCAAAAATGGTCCGCTTTGGGTCCCTTCCTATTCCTTTGTCAGTTGTAACGTTTGGGAAAAGAACCTGCAGTATAGCTGGAAGTGTGGGTCTGATTAACTTGGCCTTAAGGAGACAGTGTGCCTACTAAGAACAAGACCTGGAGTCCTGACTCAGGACTTCTTACCAACCTAACTTAACCAGAATTAAAATCTGGCTGTTTGCAACATTCAATAAGTCTCTGTGAGTTATTGCTGAACCTAAAGCTGACATTTACCATAGTTGAAAAGCAAGTGGTAATTTGACGCATGTTCTTAGTAGGCTTTTGAGTACACACCCAGATGACTCGCAAAAGGTGTGTACCATTTAGAGAATTTGTGAAAATGGTTAATTGTTGTTAAGTGTGAAGTCCAGTCACTCCTGAATTAGAGCAAAGCTAACAAAGTAAGAACTTGGTATGGCTTAGTTCGCTCAGTCTTATGAGGGTTTAATCTAGAATTTCCTTCTCAGATGGACTGACTTTTGAATGACTCCTTTGGTTTAGCCTACAGGACAAGAATCTGCTTATCCGCCTGCTGGCCAGTATCCTTACCCTGCTGGGCCTGGGGGCTTCCCACCGATGGGAGGTGGTGCCTATCCTGCAGCTCCACCAGCTGGTGGGTTCCCAGGAACGACAGGATCCCCGCCCGCCTCTGGTGGGTATCCCCCTGCACCCGGAGGATACCCTGGAGCTCCTCAACCTGGTGGGATGCCAGGTTTTCCTGGAGGTAAGAGAGAACCCCCTTGGCTGCTTCTCTCTGCTGTGGTTGAGAATGCCTGTGTTAGGGAGTTCAAGAAACATAGCTAGGAAGCCTTGTTGCTTCTGCACCAACAAAACCGAGCATGGAGCTCCTCAACCTGGTGGGATGCCAGGTTTTCCTGGAGGTAAGAGAGAGCCCCCTTGGCTGCTTCTCTCTGCTGTGATTGAGAATGCCTGCGTTAGGGAGTTCAAGAAACCATAGCTAGGAAGCCTTTTTGCTTCTGCACCACCAAAACCAAGCAAGGTGGCAAAGCAAGGCGGGGGGGAATGGCCTCTGCTTTTTTAAAAAAATTATCACCAGTCAATGAAACAATTCCTTTGTTATATTAAAACGGATCTCAGTGCCATTACCTTGTGTATGAAGCACACTCTTGTCCTGTCCAGCTTTTCATTGCCACAACACCCAACTAGAACACGGAGCAGAAAGTGAGACAGCACTTGAATTATATGACATTCTGTCTCTGCCAGTTAGTGAGGCCACCCCTTGTCAACTGTGTAAAAAACTTTTAAGAGGCTACCATTATATTGCAAAAGGAAGTGAAGATATCCCTTGCTAAGTGGTTGTCATAATGTAATACAGTATATTGTGCCTTAGCTATTGGAGGAAGGAATGCATGACGAGGAACGAGTTGCTTGCTCTTTATACCTAGGTACTTCCTAGCCCTTCCCAAACAAACCACTTCTGCATTAAACCAAAGTGCTTGGAGGGCATGCACATTATCTGGCATTTGGTTGACACTTCCAAATACATTAACCACCTTGGTGTTTACTTCCCAAGCACCTTGCTTTAATCCAGCAGTGACTGACCCTGAGGTGAAAAACGGGGCTTTGCTGCTGCTGCATCACCGGATTTGCTGCTAATGCCCCACAGTGGCATGGTGGCAAGGTACAGCCCTCTGATATGTTTCAGGGGGCAGCGCTGCCCTTACCCCAAGTGGGTGCCCTTTCGTGATCTGTATGAAACTGGTGGAAGAGGCCATTAAGAGACCTGGAGTGCAGTGTCATCAGTACGTTGATGCTAAAACATGCTGATGACACCCAGCTATAATTCTCTGTTACATCTCAGTCAGGAATGGCCGTGCAGATCCGGGACCAGTATCGCTTTGCAGTGATAGGCTGGGTGGGAGTCAGTAATAGTGAGACTGAATTCTGTGGCTCCTGTGCTCAGATGCTTCCTGGGATAGGGAATTGGGTGTTTTTTTTTCTGCTCTGGATGGGATTGCAGTCTCTCTGAAAATAGATATATAGCCTAGGAGTATGGATAAATCTGTCACTGTCACCAGTTCTAGCTGGTTTGCCAGGTTTGACCATGTCATGGGTGGGGATAGTTTTGATTCTGGTGGCCCAGGCATTAGTAAACTGAAGCCTGGACTGACGTAGTGAATACTATGTGGGCCTACCCTTGGAAATGGCCGCTGCAGCCATATAGAGCAGCTACGAGGCTGTTTGCAGAGTCTTATTATAACAACAGGTTACGATGGCACCAGCTTCTAATAAGCTAGCAGGCCAGGTGTAACAACGTCATCATTTTAAGGATTTCTTCACCTCTTACATCGCTGCCTGATCATGGCACTCCTCTGGAGGAACTCTTCCGAGGGCTGTCCGTTTTCCTAAGATTCACTTTATGAGTGCTAGCAATAGAACATTCAATACTGCAGCAGCAGTTGACTGGAACACTCGCTCAGTTAACAGTAAGAGAGTTGCTATACCCATTGACTCTTAGTTATTGTTGTTTTGACTTATGCACTACCCCATAGTACTAGAATACTTTCTGGGTGGTTTACAATGTAATTATGCAAACAAGAGTTTGCCCAGCCTCATTTTATTGACCTTGGAAGGCCTAGTCAGTGTTGGACCAGTTACCTGAATCGGTTGGGTTCAAACTCAAGTTGCGAGCAGGGGCTTGACTGCAGTACTGGTGTCTCCTTAAGATTAACTTCTTTGCTCAGGCTTTTCCTGAAGTGTAACCAAAGCAGTTACAGTTTTGTTGCTGATCAGTAAGAAATTTATTGTTGCATTGTGTTGTTGTTGTTGTTGTTGTTGTTGTTGTTCTTGGAGTTGTTGTTGTTCTTGGAGTTGTTGTTCTGTTTACTTCTTTGATAATTCTGCAAGGGAGAGGTGCATACGTTTGGTAATCATATAAATTACATTCTAGGAAGCCACCCCATTTGTTCTATCTCAAACTGATGAAACTGGTCTGGATGATGCTGTAACACTTTCAGAATAATATGTCTCTATAGCAATGAAGGTTTCAACGTGTGCTCCTTTCCCCTTAGGGAAAAACAAACAGTTGCATGGAATATGTGGGAATGGTGTAAGCCTTGTAATGCTATTTTAATGAGTGTACACTAGTGTTCTCGGTATTCTGAAATTAGCGCAGCATTTTGCAGATGTTAAATTAATATATCAAAAATATTTTCAAATACAACTTGTCACAAAACATAGCTTAATATATTGATACGTTTTGTGACAAGTTGTATCTGAATATATTTTTCATCCATTTGCAATACATTAGAGGTGTACTCTTCTTTTTTTAAAAAAAAATTTCCCCCAGGTGCTGGTTTTGGCGTACCCTCAAATGGGTCTGGATTTGGATATCCACAGCCTTTATCCCAAAATTATGGTGCAGGTGGACCAGCACAAATACCAGGTATATACTGTTATATTCCTAAGATATGTTATATGGTGTCTTTGGTTGTGAAGACAATGAAGCACTGAGTAATTTTGGCTTGCTATCAATAAAGCTTCCCTTCCAAGGGATACATCTAAAATAGAGACTAAGGCCTATGGAAACCCTACACAGTTCTAAGAGGGTAGTATGTCTGCTGTGGTCCTGGTTCCTTTATAATCTTGGAGGCAATCATGTATCTTGTAATGTATATGTTTAATTCCCCACCCCCAAGAAGATAGAAGCTGATCGTGGTTATCCTGCTTCGAACCAGGAGACATGTACCCTAGTGACACTGCAGTTATGTTATTCAAAAGGAAAACAATAGGTGTTAGTGCAAAAAGTGGGCCAGGGGGAGGTGGTTGAATGTGTGAGTGTGTAAGTTTACAGCATTTTTCTAACCTCCTAAGCCTTGATAGATTGCTGCCAGTGCTACCTCTTCTGCAGTTCTCACCTGTTTCCAAACCTTGTTTGGTGACCTGACTGCTTCAGTCAATCTTGGAAAAGACCTTGGAAATAATGAGGGAGAGAGAGAGCCCCAAATTATTGCTGACAACTGCAGAAGTGCCTCGCAGGAAAGGAGGAGATGAAAAAGGAGAGAGAGCAGCCAAGAACCAGTCTGAGGAAAGCCAATAACACCGCAGGGCCTTCTGCAAACCATTAATCAGTAAATTGGGAATTCTGTCCTGATGCTAACTGTGACAACCTTACCTCAGTGTTATCTCTCTCTTTTTGTTTAGTTGGTTATCCTGGTGGACAGGCGCCTTCTCCAGCAGCTTCTCAGGTATGTTATTCTTGTGCCTATGATAAAACTGGATTGTGTTGTCAGTTCAGTTTGGGGCAAAATGTGAATTGTTCTGTCAGAAATAAATCTAAAGGCCAGTCCTGCAAATCTCTAGGAATGGCCACACACTTGCCAAATGCGTAGCAGACAGTTTGGGAAGTCAAGGAATATGCCCTAGCTATCACTGCCCACCTCAGTCTGAATGCACAGCAGTAGCCCGTTTGGAGGTACACCAAAATCAAGGGAAACTTGCAACATTTGAATTTCATGCACACTAAGTACAGTATACTGGTGTTGCTTTTGTGATTATAAAAACCCGCAGTGGCAGTATCATCAGTTTTAAATTTAAAAAGGGTAGGTTTACATTCAACATTAGAAAAAGGTTCCTAAATTATTAAGGGCATTTTAGGAATAGTGCAACCGACCCATGAAGGCTGTAGACCCTAACTTGTGTGTACATGTGTGTGTGGGGGAGTATCTATGAAAACGTGTTGAGGATTTGGGAGACTGTTACATCTCAAAAGCTTGCAAGAGTTGCAACATAATACTAATACCGAGTATGCTGACGAAACATGTTTACAGGGTGGGTCCTGCAGTGTTTACCACCTCTAGGACCTGGATCCTAGAAAACCATAATAAAAGTCCTAAGTTACAAAACACTCTTAGCTGTTCAGAGTCTACATGCTTGGACACTCTTCAGTACCAGCCATTCCCAGCCCATGCCCAGAACAGACCCAGACCAGCTGGAACTTCCCCTCTCCAGCTTTCATCATAATTCTCTATCAAACACATTGACCCAATTCTGTCAGCCTTTAGGCAAGCTCAGTATTTACAAAACAATTGTGATCAGCAAGAATATTTCGGCATCTGGGCTGTGTGTCGGAAGTTCTTCATCCCTCTAAGTTACCAGACCCCCTAAATCTCACTGTCAAAATTGAATAAGCACTTAATGTGAAGCTTCTGCTGATGATGAAATTTCTCACTCTCAGCCCGCAGCAGTGATTCAAGCTACAGAAGGGACAATTCGACCAGCTGCTAACTTTGATGCAGGGAGAGATGCTGAAATTCTCCGCAAGGCTATGAAAGGTTTTGGTAAGAGTGGTTACTATTTTGTGTTTTATGTAGTCTTTATATATAAACAATATCAAGTCCAGAAGTCATTTTTTTTCCTTCCTTAGGTGGGATGACAATCTGCCTTTTTTCTCCCTAGGGACGGACGAACAGGCAATCATTGATGTTGTGGCCCACCGGTCTAATGATCAGAGGCAACAAATTAAGGCTGCCTTCAAGACCATGTATGGCAAGGTATGACTGCTGCTTCTTTCTTAGTTGTTGGAGACAGTGGCTAATCCGCAGCAGCCCAGCAGGTCCTTTATCCCGTCTAAGGAAAGTGAGCTCTGTAAGATCACTCCTCTGTTTGACTTCCTTCCTTCCTGTTCGCTTGTCAGCGAGATTGTCTTCAAGCTGATGCTCTGCGGAAGTTCTCTAAAATGCTTTTTATTTATGTGAATGGGGGAGGCTTTTTGACCTAATGGATTGACATCAGCCAAGTTGAGGTACTAGAATAAGAATGTCAGAGTTCTGTAAGATCACTCCTCTGTTTGACTTCCTGTTCGCTTGTCAGCTTAGCTGTAATATGCTAACTTTCTGTAAATTAACTCAGTGCAAGTTAGTACTGAGTCACTGGAATGAAATATAGAACACATAGTCAGGGAATAATTCCAAGAAAAAGTCCCACCTCTGAGCACACCCACTCCAGCGCCACCCAACTTAATTAATTAATTAATTAATTAATTAATTAATTAATTAAATAAATAAATAAATAAATAAATAAATAAATAAATAAATAAATAAATAAATAAATAACCATTTGATACTTCCTTTGGCAGGATAATAAAATGCCAGATGAAAGTCATATGAATGGTAGTATGCATATTTGGGGCAAAATTGTACTATATGGGGTCAGGTCTACCCCCTCATCCATGTTCAGGGAGGCTCAAAGCTTCAGATGTGTGACATAGTTGTTCTTCAATCTTCTTCCTGTTTTGATGCTAGAAAAAAATGCATATTGATTTTACTGTGAAAAGTAAAAAATTAAAAATTTGCATGATTCCTGAACTGAGCTTTCTTGATTTTTCTCTGAAGAAAATACGTTTCACTAAATACCAGTTAGCTAGGAGTTGTACCATAGGCAAATTGTGTATATATTTGTGCATACCTGCTTTGTTAGAGGGGTGGATATTTGTGTTTTTGGATTACATTTCTGGGAGTTATAATCCAAAACCTGAAATATGCTCATCTCTGCTTGCTTACATGAGTATATATTTTCTGATAATCATTTCATTAATCAAACAGGACTTAATTAAAGACCTGAAGTCAGAGCTAAGTGGAAATATGGAAGAGCTTATCATTGCATTATTCATGCCACGTACTTATTATGATGCCTGGAGTTTACGGCATGCAATGAAGGTATGAATTTAGATGATGAAAAATATAATTTCATGTGCTGAAGAAGTGGATCTTCTAATTCATGAAAACTTGCTCTGAAATAACTCTTTCATTCCTAAGAAGACCATAATACTTTTATTTTTGTTGTTGTTATGAATACTGAAACTGACTCACATGGTCACAGCAAGATTACCAGCGTGCGGTAACAGATAGTCAGTGACTGACAAGCCTATACGGTTCATATTTCAGAGATGCACCAGTCTGAGTTTGCTTCTTGTGTATAAGCTATGGTTGGTATTGGTAATTTAGACTCTACTCATCCTTGAGTTCCATTCCCCAGTCTGTACAGGTCATACTAAAGAGCCTTGTAGTCTCTTTAGTATGACGTGTATCTTTATCTACCAGCATTTTTCAAATTTGAGCAACTCATCCTTTATTCCCACTCCAGGATTCATAAGGTACCATTTCAAAGGACAGATTTGGGTGAGGAGAGAGATAGGTAAAGGAAGGAGAACAAGTCTTAAGTCTCTATGGTAGAATTTTTTGTTTCCCATGACATTATGAGCGAAATGCAACTTCTCAGGTTTTCTGCATTGCTTTCCTAGCTCGTTTTCTAGATCAGAGGTCCCCAATTCCTGGTCCGCAGCCTGGTGACGGTCCGTGGCCTAAGCCGGACTGGGCTGCAGAAATGACCTCCCCCCCATCCCCGCATGCACCCCCCCACAGCCCATGTGCCTGAGTCCACATGAGCGTTCCCCCACCCCTTTGTGGATGCACACACATGCCCCTTGAGCGCCACACCACTCTTTGTGCATGCGCGCGAGCGCTGCGCAGCCCTTTGCACATGTGCATGAGCGCTTGCAAAGCGCTCCCTGCTCCTTTGCGCATGCACACGAGCACAGGGGGTGCCCCGTCTTTCCCAGGTGGTTCGTGGGGCCAAAAATGTTGGGGACTGCTGTTCTAGATAATACATTCATTGTTTTGTTTTTTTGCACACAGGGTGCTGGCACTCAGGAGAATGTTCTGATTGAGATCCTTTGCACAAGAACAAATCAAGAAATTCGTGATATAGTCTATTGTTACAAGACTGAATTTGGAAGAGACATTGAACAAGATATTCGGTCTGATACATCAGGTCACTTTGAACGATTACTTGTATCTATGTGTCAGGTGAGATGAACAACCACTTTCCAGCACAGTCTTTCCTATGCATTACCAAGCACTTAATGAATTCTCTTTAATCAAGGCAACGTGTTATGACAGAGCCTTGCTGTTGATTTTGCTCTGTGCAGGAGCACCACTGCATTTCTACCTGTATCATTCTTGTATGGATGTAGAGTTTGTGTGAGCCTTATCTTCCATGGGGCTGCTGTACACACAGCCAGAACAGTATTACAAAACGGGACTCCTTCTGGAACATGGATATGTCCCTTTCCTGAGGCACTTGTGATAACGCTGGTTGCAGAAACATTCCCAAACAGAATACTTATTTCAGTTCTTCTGTTTCACCAAATCAAGCAACCAGACAATGGCTCCACACCAGTTCTTGTATCTCAGGTTGGTCCTGTCCCATTAGCCTATGCTGGCATGGCCAATAGTGAAAGATATTGGGTGTTGCAGTCCAGCAGTGCCTGAAGGACTGTACCTTCCCATCTTCCCACCCCCATTCAATCTGGTATCTACATGAAGGCTAATGAGAAATGGCAAGATCTGGTTTCTGCCTTTGTGTACGTGAGTATGCACCGTATCAATGGAGGGAAAGCTGGTGTAACTTTTCATTGTGGGAGAATCTAGAAAGACAGTATCTATGAGTTGTGTTGCAGTGGGATCTTTTTCCAAATGATTGGTTGTACTTTTAAACAGCCCACTAACCAGCCTTCTCTGGATGGTGTATAGTGGTTGGTGGGTTACAGGCTAATCTATTGCCAGTGCACCAGTCTAGCTCTGGATCCCCAGTAGAGAAGAAAGATGATTATTAAGTTAAAAAGCAGAATTGGGTGGGTAGTACATTTTAATATATTTTTTAAAAAAGTAAGAAAAATCCTGAGCCCTTCAGAAATCTTAACAAGGATGAGTGTTGCAAACCTTTGAGAAGATAAAGAAGAAATTCATCGTATCTAGATATTATACCCATTAGAGATGTATATCTTTAAATTCCAGAACTGAGACTGCAGGGTTGGAGAATCCCTCTGAGGTGTGGTGTTAATTGGGGAATTGAAAATCAATTTCTTCTCTCCCCTTCTATAGAGAGTTTATAATCACTCTCTGTTCCGTGTCCATCTATTGTCTTTAACAACTGAATTATTGCCTTCTCATCAAAACACACAGCCTCTGTATTGGCATGGAAGAAAATTACAAAGTAAGGTGGCACTCTCCATATTGTCCAAGCTGGAGATTAAATTTTAGATAGGGCTTGTTCCCTGTGTTTTCCTGGGGCGTGACCAGAACTGTGGCATGAATCCTGAGGGCAGCCACTCCCAATCCTGATCTGAAGCCTGTAGCCTGTGATGGTCCATGGACTAGATAAAAGCCATCAGTTGAAGCCAAATATGGTGTTGGAAAAATGTCTGGACTAAATCATTACAGCCACTGGATACCACTAAGTGTCGTGGCTCCATCGTAGGGACTTGTAGTTTGGTCAGGCGCCCAGAATTTTCTGCTGCTATTCCTTGGAGGGCGCTAGAGTTCTTTAGCAGAGAATGTAAAGTATCTCACCAGAGCCAAATCGATTAAAATGGTATCAAACTAGTGTGACTGTATAGTGTGGATACACTGCCCATGTTTACAAGAAGACGTAGTAGAAGTCCCTTCTCTGGTTATAGATTGCCTTCTGAGTGGCTATTTGTGATATTCTCCTTTGGAAATGAAAAAGAAACTTATCTGTGGGATTTGTGTGTGTTGTTTTTTAAAGGTGACTATGCCTATTTGTATCCTCTAACAATATTCAGACAAGGATCTTGTAAAGTAGAAATGAAGGTCAGATGTTTAATATTTTAATTTAATTTGACATCTATAAACACAAATTTTTGTGGAGAGGTACAGATTGCATCCCACCTTCCCTGTTTAGCTTCTCACACACCCCAAGCAGTTTGGGATTGTGGTGAATGGCAAGAAAGTAAGTGTCAGATTTATGAAATGACAAATTTACAGATTACAGTGTCTGTGTATTCTTTACCATTCACTTCTGAATGCTGTGTCAATGTTAGCTTCACATATGGTGAAGGTAATCCTTGCTCCTTTCTCTTTACAGGGTAATCGGGATGAGAATCAAACTGTAGATTACCAAAAAGCTCAACAAGATGCCCAACGACTTTACCAAGCAGGTGAAGGGAAACTGGGAACAGATGAATCTTGCTTTAATATGGTTCTGGCCTCTCGAAGCTTTCCCCAGCTGAAAGCTACAGTGGATGCTTATTCCCAGGTAAGAACAGTAGACATGTTGATTTGTTTATTTACTTATTTAAAATATTTGTAACCCCCCTTCCTTCTCAAGAGGACCCAAAGTAGTTTAAAATATTAAAAACAAACAATATAACACTAGGAGGGAAGGGAGAAATGAAGAAAGAGCAGCCCAACTCTTAGTCACTGAGAAAAGCCTGTCATGGTGTTTGTATGTCTGCAGAGGGATAGCAAAGAGGGAGCCAGGCTAAACTCCTGTTGGAGGGAGTTCCACAGCTTGGGAGCAGTGATGGAGAAGGCCAGCTCTCGTGTCCTCACCAAACACACCTGTTTCTGTTAGTATTAAGTAAATGTTGTGTGAACAGAACTGAGATAGATTGGTCTCAACTACTTCTTTGAGAAAAGATTTAACATTTCTCTAACATCTTTTTCCAGGTTGCCAATCGTGATTTATTAAGCAGCATTAGCCGGGAGTTCTCAGGAAATGTTGAACGTGGCTTGAAGGCTATCTGTAAGAGACTTTTCCATCATTTTAATGTTCCCTGAGGGTCTTTTAATAATTAAATTCCACAGCACTTCTGTGCTTATCCAGATGGAGCATTGGTTCTCTCCCCCATCCTTGTGCTGGTTTGAGACCAAATCTGACCCAGGGTTGCCGTCCACATACTGTACATTATTAAAAACTGCTTCGCTTTAAGAAAGCAGCTCCTCTTCAAGAAGTGGTTTTCAAACATTTCAGAAATCTTGGAAGAAATACTTAAAATGATTGTCTGTGCTGGATTTTTGATTGCTGGTTTAATGGATTATGTGAAATTAGAAGCCTCTGGTGGAAGCCCTTGGCTGCAGACGTCAGCTGCCACCCCATTTCAGAAAACATTTGAAAACAGCTGTTTAAAAAAACCCTTGAAGAACCCCTTGAAGTATGATATTGTTTACTAGTTTTTTTGGTCTTTCATTGCTGTTTTAGTAATTTATCACTAAATTGAAAGCTTCTGAGCTACAAAACCTTTGGCACCTGAATTCCACCCCAGTATATAGTAGTCCCAGAAGAAGGGAAAGGTAAACCACTTCTGAATATTCTCTGGCTAGAAAACCCTGGAAAAGGGTCACCATAAGTCGGAATTGATGTGGTGGCACACAAATTATTATATGTAGTGAAATAATAACAGAACCAATACAATACCCACAGGAAATGCTTTTTAAAACCTAAATGCCAGAGTCATTGTTATTCTTTCATTTAAGGCCTGTATTGCCTGGATAGCAGGAAAATACTGTTGTTGCTATTAGTGCCTAGTTCGGTACATATAGGAGAACAAATGCTCTGTCTGGGTGAGCCTTACAATAACGAGATGCTACAGGAATTGCTGAAGAACAAATCCAGTGGCCAGAAGATGGGGTTGTGGGGTTTCAGTACACTTTAGCTTCCCATGTGAATAGAACACGGGCTTAAAAAAAGGATTTGCTCCCTTTGAACACATTTTGCAGAACAGAGATTGAGTTTATCTTGGCTAAAGCTCTGTTGCTTAGTGTAGTAAGTCATACTAGAGCAGGCCCAGCTGAATCAATCTAACTTACAGAGGAGTTGACTCAGCAAATCACCACTGAATCAGTGAGCCTACTCTAATGTGACCTACCACACTAACAGGATTTCAGTCTGTGTTCTTCATGTTGGTAGAGAAGCAGTGATTCTTTTTTTCCCTCAGTGGAAGGCAACTTCTTTGAAGAAAGCTTTGGTAGACATTTTTCAGTTCTTTTCTGAAACTGGGTACTGAAGATCTAGCAGTCTGTGATAGCAGTTCTTCTCTGATTTTTGGAATATGGAATTGAGCCCTAATGGGAACCTATCAGGACAGTCTAGTGGGGGGGGGGAAATCCATTGCTCAGCAGACAAGCAGAATTCATATACTAATGTTTCTGTTCTCCCTACTTGTTGCCTCCCAGTAATCCAAATAATAGGGCATAACAGAGTAATGATTCAGATACCCAAAGAGGAAAGCATAGCATTGTAAACTTCTTACCAAATGCTACCTTTGCAGAAACACAGTGATCTGATCATGGTAAAAAAAATGGAGGGGACGGCTAAGCAGTGGCAAGGCTATAAGACGTCACAAAGTTATTGCTTAAGTTCTCTGTATGGTTGTAGCCTTGGCTGTCATGACCCCAACTCAGCAGCTTCTTGGTCTGACCATATGGCATAGCTATGCAGCTGCAACTTGGAGGTTTCACAAAACAGCCTGGCCCAGCATCTCTGTACTGCTAATTCTGCACTACCTCACTCATGCCTCCAACTTTGTAGGGAATACTCCCTGTGGCCTCCTTCACACCATGATTAGCATTCCCCACAAAATGCATGGTCACCTTAATCAAGTAGGGAGCGTGACACTGCTATTACAATGTCAGCAATATGGAGCAGTTTGGGTGGGATTTGTCATCAACAGAGTACTTAAGTGTCTAAGGTTTAGCTGAAATACAGTCCCTAACATTCCTCTGTTCACTGTCATACTGGGATCTCCTGCCTGCATAGATATAGGCCCTATCTGAAATGGTTTGCACTAGTGACGTCACAGCCGTCTTTGAGAGACAGAGATTAGAGAAACCATGGATTTTTGTAGAGGGGCATAATGGTGGTAAGAATAAGATAAGGGGGAAGTGTGATTTTGCAAAGTTAGATCCTGGCGTGCTGCTTGAATCTGGTGGGTTTTTTGAATGCCAAAATGGAAATAATTTCGTCCTTACTTTCTTGCAGTGCAATGTGCCCTGAACCGCCCAGCCTTTTTTGCAGAGAGGCTTTATCATGCTATGAAAGGAGCTGGCACGGATGACTCAACCCTTGTTAGGATTGTAGTCACCCGCAGTGAGGTAAGAACTCTGTGTGTAATTAAAAGGCCCCGTAATTGATCTCCCTTTCGTTTCTTGTTCCTCTTTGATGGTGAAACAGTTTCTACATTAAGTGGTTAGCTTGCTCTGTTTACTTGCTTTTATGCAGATTTTGGGTAAATGCACCACTCTTTGGTACTACATATATTTTATTTATGCCTTCCTTTTCTTCTGTTTTTGGGGCCTAAAGCAGCTAGCTCTATAAAGTGGTGTCATAATAGATGGGCATTAGAATTAATAGCTTTTGAAAACTCTGAATTTATTTCCTTTTGGTATAGATCGACCTTGTACAGATCAAATACGTGTTTGCCCAGATGTTCCAGAAGACTTTGGCCACAATGATATCCAGTGACACAAGTGGGGACTACAGGCGCTTGCTCTTGGCCATCGTTGGCCAGTAGGAAGCCCTCTCAAACAAAGAAAATAGAATGAGAACTGCTTGGGCAAAGAACCAACTGTCACTACATGCAGTGTATGAGTATAAGTTAGAAACTGCAAATAAATTTGCCTTGATTGACTTTGAAGAGCTTTTCTTCTGCACATATACTTGCCTTAAATTTGGCACATCATGTACTTTATAATGTAAAATAAAGTATCAGCTATCTAATCTGTTGTGAAGTGCTTTTATTTTTTGGCTGCAAGTACTGTAGTCAAATAGCTTGTAAGCTAGAATTCTCACTTGGAAACATTACGAATCCTAATGTATGCATACCTCCTCAGACGGAAGTCCCACTAAGTTCAATTGTGCTTTCCGTGTTGAAAACTACTAATAAAGAACACATTCTTTAGACTTCAATTCTGGTACAGCCAAGACTTTATGTAAAACAAAGAGAAAGAGCTTGGGCTTGCTTGCAAGTTGTTGGCAGCTGGCTAAAAGAAGCAAGAATATCAGCTTTCTGGCATCGCTGTTTACCATCAGGTGAGATTTTTACAACTAATTGCTTATGTACCCCTGGAGAAAACAATTCCTATATATGGAAAAAAAGAACCGCTATCTATCTCAGTAACTTACAAAGTGGCAAAAAATCTGGTGAGAGGGATAGCTGATGGAAAGAAAATAACTTTTTAAAATATACTTTAAGGATATTACAATTTGGCGACATAAAGCTTAAGAAACTTTCCTGTAAGTTATACTTGATAAATTTGGACTTTGTTTTGACTACTTGAAGTCGTTTGGCATGGAGCCCAGGAGGGGTGACCTTGAGTACTCTGCTGTTGCTTAAAGCCTGAGAATCGGTTTATTTCTTTTTGATTTTTTTCTATGCCTGGCTGGATAAATTAATCCTAAAGTGGACCTTTAAAAAACTCTGCCTTGGGTATTCGTAAACCTGTGGAATTAAGCCATCAGGCCGCAGATACAAATATTGCACCCTGGTATTTTGGGGGTTCGAATTTGGTTCAGGCCTATTTAGCCAAAGCGGACTTTTTGAAATGACTCTGGAAACTTTGAATATCTGTTTATAAACATTTGGGCAGCTGGAACAGGATGACACAACAAGGACAATTTTGGGATGAAATAAAATCTACATTTCAAACAATACTAGAAATAGTGAGATCCCATTATCAAGAGGCAAAACTATACAATCAACATCAGAAGAATTACAGTCCGCAAGCAACAGGGAACAACGAAGAAGGAAATGAGAGTATTCCAGATGATGTATGCCAATCAAAACAGGAGCTGGAGGAAATTAATCTAAGAGAAACGTCAGTCTTGGATCAGAGGAGAGTACTAAGGGAAGATAAAGGGATAAAAACAGCAAAATTAACACACACACAAAAAGCCTGGAAGATCCATTGAAGATAGACCAAGTACATAAAGAGTTAGTGGACATAAATCAGATGTACAAAATGGTTTCAGAGGACATGAAAGATGGCAGAATGCTTAGAGACACAGAAATACTAAATGAGAAAAGAGAAATCAGAGAGGGAATTACCTAGAAAAATGAAAAAGGGAAAACAAGGAAGGGCCCCTTAATATTGAAAATATGTGTATATATTTAACATCGGGAACTGTAAAAGGGTGTATTCTGTATATTAAAAAGGAGAATTAAATTGAAATAAGGGAGCCCTAATCAGGGTAAAGATGGAATATGGTGGTTTTTTATTTTAGGTAAACTAAACTAGATATAACGCTGGGTCATGGATCTGGAACCACTTTCAATAAGAATGTTATTAGAAGACTTTGAGAATATTATATAATATGAGAGTAATATTATGATAGTAATCATATTATATACTAAAATTTGTACATGAATGGTTTGAATGTTTGAAAGATGTTTGGAATTTGGGGCGACAACCAGAAATAGACTGAGAAGTAAAAAACAAATAATTGTAAGCAAAGCATGTAACACGATGTTTTACAAGCACAAAACAATGTAGATAGATTGAAAAACTAATGTTTATTAAAAAAAAAGTCATGCCCAAGATTTCTGAAATTCTTGTGCTGGGGTTCCATGGCAGTAAAGTTCAAAAGTGACTTCCATACCTCAGAAAGCTGTATAGATGAAGGGAAATGCAGACAAGCGGATGGGTGAGGGGGCATGATGTGTGGCCGTAGCAATCAAAAGACTTAAGTGAACCTCAAGAATAAAGGAACCACAAAAAAAATAACTGAACAGACAAGAGCGGATCCTCCACTCCAACTGATGGAAGAAGGACATAAAAGCAAACTTCATCTTGTGTCCACTACACAGTGGGAAAAACTGGGAGGAGAGAGGTAGCTGTTCCAAGGACAAGACCACAATTTCTATCACAAACTGTTTGTGTGAAAATCCTTTACTGTGGTGATCACTTGCGTGTATCTGTGTGGACCTTACTATGAAAATGTACAACTTGATAACTCTCACTAGAAATCAAAACGGATGCATTTACTGAATATGTATGAGTATAACCAAATTTCAAGCTTACAGCAATTTCCCCTTGTTTATTGTGGCGTTCACCCTTCATGGCCCCTGCTTGTCTCCCCAAACGCAGAGCTCACAAAGGGAAACCAAAACACCACTTGACACGCTGCCAACAGTTGATCTCATCAACGTACTTTACTTAGGAAAGATGAAGGTCTATTCAGTACTGACTGATTAATAAAAGAGGTTTATTGATTACAGATGGTTGCTAGGATAATTCATAAGCACATTCTTTCCATTTTACCAAGCATCAATATTAATCTTCTGTATTAAATACCACAGGCTAATAATCACTCCTCAGACTAATCACTCCTTAAACCCCAAACTACTGTATCTTTCTCTCAGATTCCTAACACAGACCGACTCTCTGACTTAACTGACTGCTCCTCTCAGGCTCCACCTTTTTTAACATCTCTCTCGGCTCCACCGCTCAACCACATTAGCATAGAACATGAATAATACATGACTTATTACCTCACAAAGAGTGAATGCTACTGTTACGGTAGCGATGATGTCATCCGCCTGTCATTGCTGTGGCTGGAGTTCATCTGCCTATAGCATGATGGGAGGTGGGACTTCAGAGGGTGGAGCCATGGTATTTAAGGGGGGAGTGAATGAGGTGTGAGTCAGATAGGGACCTGATAGGGACTTAGGGTGTTAGGGCTTGTACATGTCGTGAAGTACTGTGCTATATATAGAGAAGGTCTGAAAGAGTGTGTGTGTGTGATACTTTATATTGATTGACTTATTATTTCTTTGATACCGTGATTTACCATTTCTTCTGTTATTATAAATAAACACAAGTTTTTATTTTTAAAAATCATATATTTGGTCTGAAGTCTCAGATGAAGGAATGGTTGGTGGCAGCGTGAATAAAGTGTATGTGAGAGTGACGTGACTGCTCCTTTGTGACGTGAGAGGAGGATGTCACAGCTACATATACAAATGAGGAGAGCTAAATAATTCTTAAGGTTATCTAAACATTTGACTTGGGGGATCTTTGTTGGTTTCCTGGCCAGGGTGGGGGGAATCTGTTTTCAAATGCTGATTGGATGGGGTGGAAAAAAAGCTTAATATATAGCCAGGCTTCATTTTTTTCAAGGTGATAACAGTTACTACTATAATGGGCATATAAGCCTTGATATTATTTTTTCTCCATGGCTCCATTAATCTTAGGAGACTGACATCATTATTATGTGAAGAGTGACATTTTAGGCATGAACAATCCTTTTAAGGTATGTACATGCAACATGTGTGATAAAAGGATTTCAGATAAACACATGCATTAGTAGTTCAGCAAAGATGTGAATCTCATATTTAGGCTGTACAGATGAGGTACTGGAATATAGAACAGCTTCAAAATTAAGGGCTAATGTGTACCAAATTTTAAACACAGCAACATGTGCTGCTTTAGGGTTGGGTAATTTTGCACTGTAGTGGTTTTTGTAACTGGCCTGCTATAGTGGCCACTAAAAGAGTGCAGATAAAGAACAGGTTGCTTCTGTAATTGATTTTTTTAAGTGGTTAATTCTGTAGATGAACTGTTGAATCCACTCACAGCACACTAATGAATAACGGGTCAAAGCCCACTGATAAACATAGGCTAGTCTTCATGTTATTTTTCAATGTGAGCATTCATTGATACATCCACTTCTTCTGACATATTAGGAGGAGGTGACTTGTCACTAAACTGCAATGGATAGAATGGAGAATTCAACCAAGACATCTGTCTGACTCAAGCTTTGCGGCAATAGTGCCTGGTGAATGTAGAGGGTTTTCAGGCAGCTGCCCAAGAGATGGCATCCCATTCATCTAAGCCAGGAGGAGGAATTAAAGAACCTCTTAATGAGGCTGAAAGGAGAGTGCAAAAAAATGGTCTGAAGCTCAACATCAAAAAAACTAAGATCATGGCCACAGGTCCCATCACCTCCTGGCAAATAGAAGGGGAACATATGGAGGCAGTGACAGATTTGACTTTCTTGGGCTCCATGATCACTGCAGATGGCGACAGCAGCCACAAAATTAAAAGACGCCTGCTTCTTGGGAGGAAAGCGATGACAAACCTCGACAGCATCTTAAAAAGCAGAGACATCACCTTGCCAACAAAGGTCCGCATAGTCAAAGCTATGGGTCTTCCAGTAGTGATGTATGGAAGTGGGAGCTGGACCATAAAGAAGGCTGACCGCTGTGGCGTTCGCCCCTCATGCCCCCTTGCTTGACCATCAAGATTCAGAGAACTCGAAAGCAAACAATTCCCTCTTTTACATTGCTGCCACCAGGTGATCACTAAATCACCATTACTTCAGGAAGATGGAGATTCAGTTCTACACTTCAAAGTCTTTTAAATATAACTTTTGTTTATTGATTACAGAAATTGATAGTGTTTCATGAATATCTTCTATAGGTAAATTTGTTAACAACAATATTCTATTTGATAATACACTACTAGCTAATCACCTCTCAGATTTCCCCAGACTCCACATTCTATCTGCTTCTCCACTCTCTCACGGTACTCATAATCTCTTTGACTGACTCTCTCAGGCTCCGCCTCTTATCACTTCTCTCGGCTCCGCGTCTCAGCAACATGAATATGTATGAACAATTAACATAACAAACATGAACCATTGACATAATAAAGGGGAATGCTACATCAAAGCTACCAACATGAATTTGATTGGGGGGAGGAGCCACGAGCAGCGAAAACAGGGGAATTCCAGAGCTCT